CTGGCAATAGTGTGTAAAGGGCTTATCCGTGAGAGACATGTAGGTCGCGCGATCGATCCCATCGTAGGTTCAATGTCTTCTTTCTTTGGGAAAAAGGAGACTGCAGTCTTCCCCCGAATACAACGTACGGTCATTATAGCTGAATTTAGACTGAAAGATAGACCAAATTCAGCTATAATGACCGTACGTTGTATTCGGGGGAAGACTGTAAGGAGGGGGTTCCTTCAGGACATCCATTAAAATTGGAAAAATATAGTTTTTTTAAAAAGCTTATTTGGCTTGCCCGGCCGTGCAACCCGTGCCAATCGGCCCGGGGTTTCAGCTACACGGGGCGATCCGGTGCAGGCAAAACCCAGCCCTTTTGATTTATTTATTTTCGGTGGAGGTTTTCTCAGCATGGCCAGAGGAGCCTAATGCGTTGGCTGTCAAGAGGGGGAGGAGGGGGGGGGGATAGGAGGGAGTATAAATTGGTTTTTAAGGGACTAAAGTAAGGGGTTTAAAGGGGGGGCCTTAGGCTGATTCTGTTTTTTTTTTTTTTAATCTTCGATTCCGTGAGGAATTCTGATGTGACCCTCAGCCAAAAGTCGTTGGTATTGCAAGTCTACACAACATACTTTTTTTCCCCGGAATTTTATGATTTTTTTAATTTTATTTTTTTGGAGCCGAGGCTGCCCGGGGTTCATGCCCGGCCGGGCACCCGGGCATGTATCTGGGCACAAGTTGTCTGCCCGGGTGCCCAGACAAACAGCCTTTTTCTCTCTCTTTTCCTTTTTTGGGAATTTAAGGAGTACAGAGAAGATTGGAATGGCCTGGGGTGAAGTCCCTCGGCCCAAGTTAAGTCTAGAAAAGGCAACGGTGTGACACCATTTCGACATTAATAAATTCGGAAAACAAGAAATAAAAAAACTGAAAAAAAAAATGCTAAAAACAGCTTTTCTCCTTATTTTTGATTACGTAACTCGGAGAAATGAACCACCACGTCTGGCACAGTCGGGGAGTGAATGTCTCCGTGGAAAAGGGATACTCCCCGTGGTGAGGGGACAGGAGGTCGCCATTTCACCATTTGTAAAATGCACAGGGACAACATGGATGACCAAATGCGTTCATTGCCCAAAGAAGGAAGCGAGTTCGATGCGAGAGAGCCAAACACAGCTGTCAGAGTTCTTCTTCGTTTTTTTCTTTTTTTAAATCTAACACGGGCCCAGTGCCCAAGGCTTATATTCTCAATATAAAATGGAATGGAGGCCGGAGTCCTCACTGTCTACCCGGAAAGGCTGGGAGCATTACCCAGTTTCGCTTACAGGGTGGGACCACCACTCCCTGCGGGGCCTACCTAGCCCCATGACATCCATCAGAGCAAACAACCTTTGGTGTCCGTAGTGGTCAGGGTTCTTTTTTTATTTTATTTTTTTTTATTTTAATTTTTAAGTCAGGGTTCTTCCGTTTCAGGATGTAATGATGTCTAAAAAAAAAAAAAAAAAAAAAAAAAAGGCTAAAAAAAAAAAAAAAAAAACAAAAAAGAAAAAAAAAAAAAAAAAAAAAAAAAAAAAAAAAAAAAAAAAAGGCTCATAAGTTGAGAAATCTACCCTTGGGGGGGGGGTAGGGTAGGGTAGGGTAGTTTTCTCGACTTGAAATGGTTTCCCGCCAAAACCAAAAGGGTCAAAGCATACGACAAAACGGATTTCACGTCAAAGAAAAAGAATCTACAAAACGACCAAATCTTTTTTTTTTTTTTTTTTTTCTTTTTCTTTTTTCAAAACGACCAAATCTAATAGGTTATTCTCCTGTATTTCGGTACCATTAGATTCGCAATACATCAACGGCAGATCTCCATCCCACCATGCCACACGTGATAGAAAACTCAACTTGGGCGGTGGGAATTACCCCTGTGTATGTGGGGGGGGGGGGGGAAGACAAGAAGGGAGGCACAGATACTGGCAAAAAAATGCTTGGTCTTTCTTTGGTGATTTAAGGAGTACAGAGAAGATTAGATGGCCTGTGTATTTAAGGGGGTTGCCGGACCCCCACCAGCGGCCCCGACCCTGTGGCACCCTAAACCACTAGGGCTTGATTGGGAGGTAGAAAGCTATGCTTGCAGTGGTTCCTTGTATAGCCTTAGGGAAGAATACAGTTTTTTTTTTTTTTTTTTTTTTTTTTTTTTTTTTAGGGTTTTACACAGGTCACCAACTGGACTAGCTCAGTTGGTACACCCATGAATTGTTGAAATATAGACCCCCCAAGTTCGAATCCAGATGGAACCAGATTAATGAAATCAACCAATTCTGAACAACCTGGACCATGTTCCCAGTACCGTCTTCACCCGAACATAACGCACCCCTTAAAATGTATACAAGTTGTATTTCCGGCCAGATACGGCCAAAATGAGGGTGCGTTGTGTTCGGGGGAGGACGGTAGCACGGGATAGAGCGTGGGCGTATGGTATATCCATAATGTGACAGTGTGCTGCTGTATATCCAGTGTGACACTGTGCGGCAGCAGCACGACACGTTCGTTAAGAATTTTCGACAAGAGAAAAAAAAAAAGGAGAACGGCACCAAAAAGAAAAGAAAAAGAAATAGAGACCTCATGCCCTCAAATCACGGAGCAGTGCTTCCTACCGTCCTCCCCCGAATACAACGTACGGTCATTATAGCTGTATTTAGACTGAAAGGTACCCCCAGATACAGCTATGATTACCGTACGTTGTATTCGGGGGAAGAAGGTAGCCGTCAGATCACAAATGATCCAATTGCCGGCCGACGACTTCCACAACGTTGGAAAAAAAAACAAAAATAAAAACCAAAAAAAGAACCCATAACTGCCACGATTCAACCGTTGGAGACATACATAACTGCCACGATTCAATGAGAGAGACTCTGTCAGCAGTGATCAAGGCGCCCTCCATACACTCCGGGAGTGCAAGGATTGCTTCAACCAATGAGTGAGATTACTGCAGAAAAGTACAAAAAAATTACTGAAGATCTTTTATCCCATGGGTATGGCCAACCCGCCCTCTTGGTGCGGTTGGGCATGGCCTCTCGTTGGGGTTGGGCGGTCCCCTATGGGGTAGCGCAAATTCTGGTGGGAACCCAACCCCTTTGCACCGGGGGCCAAGTCCCACTACCGTCTTCCCCCGAACACAACGCACCCTCATTTTGGCTGTATCTGGCTGGAAAAAAATATAGCTTGTATTCATTCATTTTTAGGGTGCGTTATGTTGGGGGAAGAAGGTAGCATCGCGTAGTTGTAGGTAGGCACGTGTTGCCGCACACATAAGTTCAGCGGGAAACGTGTGTGTGTGTGTGTGTGATGCACCGAAGCCGTAGATCGCTGTACATCTGAAGGCTTATGTGAAACCGCGCCAGAAAGGCGCCCAAACTAAACAGATGATGCCGCCAACAAGAAAACAAGCTGCTCCTTAACACTGGTAATCGGGACACAATTTCCTTCCCATCACTCTCGGAACGGAACGTGTAGTTGCCTACCCTGGTAGTGAACGCGTTCTTAGCTACACGATAGATTTTCCCTTTTTTCTTTTCTTCTGCTTCTCTGCTTGTCCTTCCTCTGTCAGAGCCCGTTTTCTGTCCGAGTGTCAGAGCCCCTCTATCCTCATCATGAGATGTACCAGCAAATCTGTGTCAACAGAAGATCCTGAGTTCGAGTCCTACTCAATAACGCCAATACAATGATGGCAGTGCTTCTCCCTTCACAAAAAGGGAAAAGGAAGAACTACGGCTTCCATTCTCTGGGCGAAAGGTTTCTCGGCCTTTTGGCTAAAAAAGATCAAGTGTGTAGTATCTGTTCTGATCAGTTTAATATCTGATCCTTAAAAAAAAAAAAAAAGAGTAACAGAGCACGTTGGATCTGTCAGAATCTAATGGATGCAGTAAAAGGGACAAACTTTCCCGCCTAAACTGGTGTCACACATTTCCCGCCTAAACTGGTGTCACACATTTCCCGCCTAAACTGGTGTCACACATTTCCTGCCTAAACTGGTGTCACACATAGCTTTCCCTCCCTCCATTCAATCTTGTCCCACCGTTGTAGGTAACCACAACTACACAGGATGCTAGTGGGACTTGGCCCCGGCATGCCCAGTGTTAAGGAGAGGGGGAGGGGAACTCAGAGCTCTAGCAAATTCTGGTGGGAAGGTGCATCCCCCTTTGTTGCACCAGCATGCCCAGCGTTAAGGAGAGGGGGAGGGAAACTCAGATCTCTCTCTCTCTCTCTCTCTCTCTCTCTCTCTCTCTCTCTCTCTCTCTCTCTCTCTCTCTCTCTCCTTTTTCAGCAAATACGTCTAAAACACTGCAGATTTGGGTTGCTCTATTGGCACACAGAACTATTTTCGATCTTAGCTCCTTGCGAAGGGCAGATTTGGGTGTTGGGGTGGGCTCAACTGCCACGCAAACTAGTTTTGATCCCATCAGATTCTAGGTGGTGTTGTTCAAGTTGTACTGGAGGTGGAATAGTAGCAGCCATTGGAATGATTTTGGGGGAAAAAACTTATTCCATTTGTTTGGTCCTGAATTGCTCTGATATGTTTTGAAATTCCAAGCCTTATTATTATTTCATTGACAAGTTCTGCCGCTTCTGCGATTTAATTAGAAGATAATGTTTTCTTTGTCTTTTATTACCTTTTGTTTCTTGGAGTCGTTGGTTGGGTGTTTCTCATTGAGGTGTTTGAAAGTAGTGTATCCAGTTGACAAGTGAGGACAGCAAGTTCTGGGCACTCTAGGGGTCTCTGCCGGTAGGGGTGGTATAGAATTGGGGAGAAGCTCATTTTCTCATTACTACCAATAGTTCTCGCATTGACAGAAAGTGGATTCGGAGAAAGGAAGAAGGCTGAAGATGATAGTCGCCTGAGGAGTGTGCAATTCTCTCATAATAAGAGAGAGAGAGAGAGAGAGAGAGAGAGAGAGAGAGAGAGAGAGAGAGAGAGAGAGAGAGAGAGAGAGAGACTTCTTGCCGGCTTTGCAATCGTTCTAACACAGTGGAGCGGTTCATTTGTCGTTGTTCTACCACGGTGGAAAGGTTCAGCCGTCGTCCTGCTGTCGGGATTGAAGACTGTTTCGGCTTCTACGGCCGAGGGTCGATGATCATGGAAGCGGGACGGAAATCAACGGCTGGAAAACACCCCCTGATTGAGCTTGATCCTGATGAGCAGGAGAAGGAGAAGGAGAAAGTAGGCATGAAGAAGCCTCTCTTTCCGAAAGGAAAGAAATTGAAAGCCAAGCAGGATGTGATGGATGCTTTTGAGGAGGAGTTAGGTCCCATTAAACTTTCGGATCCGAGACTGGCTGCGAAGCAACGAGCGCTTTCTAGGAAGGAAAAGGAGGCAAACATTGATAGCCGTGACGTCGCGGGACCTGGAGCGCTTGCTGTGGGTGAAGAAGAGTTCGAGGGAGATGAAGGTGTCGATGATGAGGGTACTGTGTTTGAGCCATTCAACTTGAGGCAGGAAAGGAAGGAAGGGTTCTTCGACGATGCTGGAAACTATGTCGAGTACCGTTGGGAGGCAGAGGCAAAGGACGCCTGGCTGGAGACGGCGGAGGTCGACACCAAGTACGCCGAGAAGGCTGCCGCAAAAGCTGCGGCGTATGCGAAAATGGAAGAGGAATCGGAGGGCGAGCTATCTACGGCAGAGCTTGCCGGCATCAAGCGGCGAATCAGCGATGCACTTCAGCCAGGGGAGTCTGTGCTCGACGCCCTTCGCAGGCTGGGAGGCGGGCCACGCAGTCAAGGAGCTGGCAGAGGTCGAGGAGGGGGTCAAGTTGGAAGGGGCCATGGCGCCGACCGAATGTCGCCTGCAAACAAAGTACTGTTCGATCAGCTCACGGAAGATGCAATGAAACTCTTACAAAATGGAGAATTAGGGGTGTACTCGGATCACAAAGAGACGTTCCAACGTGAAGCGGAGGGCTACGAGGCATTGCAGCGCATACGGGCTGGCGGCAAGACTGAACAAGGCAACAATGTGGCAATAAGGTCCTCGGGCACGGAAATCGAACTGGCAAAAACAGAGACCACCCGAAGCCAAACAAATGACGATCGTTCGGCGGATGCACACGCCAAGGATGTTAACGACAGAGGAGCTAAAACTGCAGAGGCCACGGTGTCTCCCTCCGCTGCTAATCCATCTATGGACATGTTTGCCGACAGCGACGACGAAGCCGAGCAAGCGACTGGAGTGGGTAACAAGAATGATGATGACGCAACCACGTCTTCCGCAAAAGGCGGTGTGGTGGATGAAAAAGCCCCCGGGCCGGAATCCTTAGGGACCAGCGAATCTTCCGTTGATGGAAGAAGAGGAGGAGGTGCTTTTCCTGAGGACGGTTCTGGGTACGTGTATGACGAATCGACTGGGTACTACTACAATGCGGAGCTGGGTTATTACTATGACGCAAAGACTGGGCTTTATGGCAGTTCCATCTTGGGGACGTGGTACCACTACGACGAAACCACACAAAATTATGTGGAGGTCGGTGGAGCACTGGGCGGAAGCGAGTAACAGCATATATTGAAACAGAAGTGTCGATCCGTTTTCATTTAGACTTGCTAGTGGTTATGTCCATGCCACGTCGTGTAAAGTCAGTAGTTCAAGTCTACTTGTCACCACTAGCCAATTCTTTAGTGGGTGGGGGAAACTTAGTGGGATGCAAATATAGATTACTAGCTTGTCTCTGTGCTGTAGATTACATCATGCCAATGCAGTTGACTCAGGTGAATCTAGTAATGCTGTGGCTGGTTCAACCAGACACACTGCGTGTGTGTGCGTGTGTGGTACATGTGTGTTTGTTTGCGTGTGTGTGTGTTGTACATGTGTGTTTGTTTGTTTGTGTGTGTGTGGTACATGTGTGTTTGTTTGTTTGTGTGTGTGTGTGTGCGTGTGAATGTTTGTGCCTGAGTCAGCCAGATCGACTGCATGTGTATGTGTGTGAGTGTGTGTGTGTGTGTGATCGACTGCATGTGTATGTGTGTGAGTGTGTGTGTGTGTGTGTGTGTGTGTGTGTGTGTGTGTGTGTGTGTGTGTGTGTGTGTGTGTGCGCGTGTGTGTGTGTGTGCGTGTGTACGTGTGTGCGTGTGTGCGTGTGTGTTTGTGTGTATTTGCTAGCAGAGTGTGCTGAGGCACACACAAAGTATGACCTGTGATAGTACAACAGCTGATATGGCAGTTCTTTGTCGATCTGTTTAGGGATTTTTTTTGGGAATTGGGAGGCTGCGTGTTCATGATACCTTCCGTGCCATTCTTTTCTTCGTTTCGTGGTTTCTAT